CTCTGCTGGCCAAAGGTGGGCGTTTGTGATTAATAGGCGTTTGTAGAGGGCAAACACTGATTGGCTACCTGTGTTTGCTGGTTTTTAAGTGAGTTACGTCAACTCTTGCTTTTTATTTATTTTATTTTACTTTTTAACCTGAAGGTTTCTAAGAACCAGCGTTAAAACTACTGTCAAAAACAAGAAGATTCTCTTTTGTTCTTGGGTTGAAGGCTGCACCTGACAGTGACTGCAGGTTGAAAAAGAAAATGTGAAGTTAAAAGAAACATCCTTGGTCCCAAGGCCAGTTTGAGTATCATTAATATTTGTACAACCAAAATGGATTTTGTTTTTTTAAATGTTATGGCTATTTACTGTTATGGTAATTAAAAAAGAAATAAAAACATTTAGCCTTCCCCACTACCCAGCTATGTTGCTCAAATATATGACATTTACCCTCAATACCTCAGGCTCAGATTAAACCAAAAATGACCCATGGTGTTTGCCATGCGTCAACAGGAGGGAGGTGTCTATCATACAGAAGCATTTTCATAAAAAAATTTAAAAAAAAGACTTTTTTTATAAAAGTTGTACAGGCAACTGAAATTTTAGCACTTATACATACATGTCAGTTGGCAGAAGTGTACACAGACAGCCAGTACACTGCTGACCTCTACTGGCAGACCAGTAACACATGCCACACCCCTCACTCAGCTAGACTAAATGATGAATTAATTTATCATGCCAATGATAAACCTGTACTGCCTAAATCTTTATTTAAAGCAATAGCTGTAGTAACCCATGGCAGTTGCCATGTGTCAACAGGGGGTATGATCACTCTAATTCAGAAACATTTCACCACTAATTCAGAAACATTTCACCACATATAGATTAGAGGCCTACTTAAAAAACTTTGCATGAGGATTTCCCCAACTCCAAATGGTTTGACCCCTTTTGAAATCATCCATGGTAGACCATATAGAATGCCTTTTGTTCTCACCTGACCTAGAAAGGGCAGAAGAGCAAACATTAGCAGATTACATGATCAAAACACTGAAAGAGAAAGAAGTGTCAAAGACAAATTTACTGCCTTCTGATTCCTCTCTTCCACAAGAAACATCACAAATCCAGCCAGCAGATTGGGTCTTCATTAAGGTCATCAAGAGAAAAACTTGGGCCAGCCCACGTTGGGAAGGACCATACCAAGTTCTGTTGACCACACCAACAGCTGTGAAAATTGCTGAACGACCCAGCTGGATTCATCTCAGTCATTGTAAGGTTCAGAGGGTACTGGACCCCTAAGGTCACCAGGGTAGTGGGGAAGTCAGACTACAAAGGGGGTTGTCCTTTTAGTGGGCAGTCGTCTCAACGTCTGTGAAGCAACAAATGATCCCTTCTCTTTAGGACCTACAGATCTGGTGACTCTGAGTCCTTAGCAGCAATGGGGAGCCTACATGCCAGGTGGCTCCTCTGCTGTGTTGTGACTGTAGCATGTTATCTCGACATCTCCAGAGGCCTGCAGCAGTTTCATGATGACATGGCAGACTGGCTGCAGAACCTCCCTCCTGACCATGATGGTGATGGAAACCTATGGAAGGCTCATCTACAGCACCTGAAGGGCAGTCACACCAAGAAGGTTGTTATGCTTGTTCCGCCATGCCACACAGCTCACACCAACTGACTTTTCATGTATGGCCCATGGCTATAAACAAATCCAGATGTGTTTATAACCTTTCCTTGGGCCGCCCACGACAAAACATCGTTAAGGGCCAAAACACAACTCTGCAAAACCTAAACTGGACCATGACCTCAACGCCGCCTACCTACTGGACCAGCACACCACCAGATCAAAGGTATCTGCTGTGTTACACCCCTTCTTCAAACATAACGTACTTCACTGTCAACAGTGCAACTGGTAACATCACTTTGACGACCATAACAACTCCAGGGCCCTTCCTGGGAAACACCACAGGCTGTGACGTCACCATAGAATTTCTCAGGTACACAGCCCTACAGTCCAGAAATTCCATTGTGTCAACAGTGGCTCTCGTTGATGTTATGTGGCTGTGTGGTCGCTGTCTGTACCCTTTCTTGCCTCACTACTGGACCGGCATCTGTGCCCCAGTCTGGGTATCGGACGGTACAATCCTCATCCGCCACAGTGACAGCCAACTCTCCCTCTCATCAACCTTGCTCCACCGCTTGGGCAGAAGAAAAAGAGAAGTGTTAGACTTTGCACCACACGACCCCATCAGTGGCTCCAATGTCCCCCACGAACACAGGTATTGGAACGCCTGGGACCACACTGCACACTCCCTTTTTTCCATGGGTTGGGGTGACCAAGGTTGTATCGCCGCGCTGAAGCTGATGGTGCTACAAAACCGGATGGTGTTGGATTTACTAACTGCAGCTCAGGGGGGGTATGTGTGCTCTCGTCAGGTGTAAATGTTGCATTTATATCCCGGGTGAAAACGACACCCACATCGAAGACGCCATGGCCTCCCTAAGGAACCTCCAAACTGCACAGACTAAGGACACCAGGGGGATAGGCAACTCCCTCTGGGAATGGTTCACCTCCGGACCTTGGTGGCATCTCCTCTTCAAAATTCTCACTCAAATTTTTGCAGTGTTGTTCCTATTCTTATCAATTTGCATCAAGTTAAGATGGCCCAAGATGACGATGTGAGCCTAAACTGTGATGATGCTGTGTAAAAGATGCACTATGTCCTCTTGTACTGAAATTGTGTAACAAAAAGTACTAAGATGATATGCCTGCTCTTCTTTCCAGCCCTACCATTGTATAAAATAAAAATAAATATATATATATATATATATATATATATATATGTTTTTTTGTGTTTCTATTTTTGATTTTGCGTATTCATAAAGAGCTCAATTTTCATTTTTTATTTTATGTTTTTTTTAATCTAAAATGATAAACAGGAGTGAATGTTAGAGGTTTTCTATCTTATCATTTTAAACAGTTTCTATCTCATTATATTAAAACTGTTTCTGCATGTACAGAACAAAAGTTTATTCAGGTTCAGTCTTTATCTTGCTGTGTGTGAAGGAACTCTGAATCACACCAAGTGGACATGTTTATCAGGAAACTGTTCATTCAGACGCAATCTCCGGAATATTCTGACCGTCATCGCTGATAAGATTGTGTTCATGTGAAACTGACCTGTTGTTTTTTGTTTTCCTCTGCTACTTCAATAAATAGCAAACTCAGACAGCCTGGCTTCAGAGCTCACGCTGACTTACAATCAGTTGTGTCACTCCCTCTTTGCAAAGATCTGAGCGCTAAAACTCATCTCGTTGTCTTGTGTGAAGTTATTCCTTTATAGGTCAGAGAAAATATCCAACAACATCTAAACTATAAAAAAAAACTTACTACTGGAGAAATGAGCATATAGGAGTGCATTATATTCACCAAACTTCTTTTGTTTATTGAGTGTTTGATCAATTTCACATCCAGAGCATTCAAAGTTATTTAAAAAACACTTTTATAATAAAAAAGATTAACAAAAATAGCAAGTCAACAAAAACGCAAATATACAATTTAACTGACTGTTAACTGGACTGATTTTATTTAACCTTTGTTGCTTGCTTATAATGGCATTTAAAACAGTAAGTTTTTTTATTTAAAAAATGTCTGATCAATTTTGTCATAAAGGCAGAACCTGCATGTAAATGTTCAAATACTGTACACCCAAATCTTTTGATAAGCTTCAAACAGTTTTTTTTTTTTTTTAATTGTTTCTTTTTTCCCCTCCTATTTTTCTTTTCTGGTTTCTGGTTTCTGGTGTTTGACATGTTTGACATGACATGAACATGCACATACAATCCCTGGCAAAAAGATAAATAAAATGGAATGACCACTTTTGAAGGATGTTTTTTCAATTGTTAAATTTTATATTTAAAATAATCACAGACATATCACAGAACCAACATATATACACACTGGTATATATATATATATATATATATATATATATATATGGAATCTCTCAATATGGAATCACTAATTTTGAAATAAATAAATTATAGAATAATGGGGAAAATGGGAAAAACACTGCACCATTAGTACAAAGTATTTTGCTGCACCCCCTCTGGCTTTTATAAAAGCTTACATTTTTGAATGTCTGTGATTTACAAAAAAATTGAATTAAACAACTGAAAGAATATCCTCTGAGAATTGTGATTGTTTTGTGCAGGGGTATCCAGATATGGAAAACCTGGGTTGACTTTCTGAGTTAAAACCAGGCTTGTACGTAGTCCTGCTCAGCAGTTAGGATGTTAGGATGGACTGAGTCTGATCCTGTAAAGGAATCCTGACTATGCTGAAACTGCCTCTGATCTCAGATTAGAGCAACACAAACAGATTTTATCTGAACTGATGCTTTGAACTTTTGGTCTACATCCAACTTGACAAAATGTGGAACAGAAATAAAATTTGAATAGCTTGTCCTTAATATACAAATTCATTTATATAGCTCAAATAAGAAATGTACCCATTTTCAGATTGTTAAACCAAATTTTTGACTTGATGCATCCGTGGCCTCGTGTGTTACCCTGAAGCAAACTAAAGGCAACAGTAGTTTTTATTTAAACCCTAAAGGTAAATAATAATCTGAGTCTAACATGAAGGAGCAGAGATCCCTCCCCCACCCCCCCCAAAAAAAGAGTCAAGGTGGACGTCTCAGCAGTCTTGCGTAAGGTTGTCATGTCTGTGGGATGTAGAGGACATTTTCACCATGAATCGATACATGCAGGTCTTTAGACTATCAGGACTGTTGGGTAAAATGACTGAAATGGCCCATGGGCTTAGTTTCATGTATTTTTGTTCATGGACACTTGAATAGGAGAAATCCACTGCTCTGCAGATTCATTATTTTTGGAATACCATTCATGGGAGAGTCAGATGAGAGAGGGACAAGTGAGGGTCCGGGCAGAGTAACGAGTTGTCACAATAGAGTCAGTTCTCTTTAGGATGTTTCCTCGTTTTCCGGCCCTTCTTGATTTTTTTAATCAGAGTCTCCTCAGATTGTGCTCCTCTTTGCAGGAGCCTTTTCTTAGGGTCATGTCGTCCACAGCCATCTCTCCACTTCTGCCACGCCCACGCTCTCCCTTCAGGATCACCTGATGAACAGCGGGACATCATTACTTCTGCTGTTTTGTGATAAAAGAGATTCTAAAGACTGTATTTGGCTGGGTTTTAAAATAGAAATACTTTACCCTTTCTACTTACACTTTCCAGGCCCGTGCCCCATAATGTGATCTGTGTGTGCCTCCACCCATTCCCTCCAGTCCGGCCCCACACTGCTGGACTGTACTGCTTCCCCTTCTTCACAAACACTTGAAGCATTCCCACATGGTGGCCTGCCAGCTTGTGCCGGAATGACAGGCACAGATTTCCATCATTCCAGGGTGGGGTGAGTGGGAGGACGAGCCGGGCCCCTCGTCCTGTCCTCTTGTTTCCTGTCTCTGGAATCGTAAGATATCGTCCACCTGTGAAAACAAATTCATGAAAACACATCTTCATAATTTTTCACTTAGAATGGGAATCATCAAACGGTGGCATTTGGTGATGCTGAATGGCCTTTTAAGAAATGTAGCATAAAGAGGCATTTCTATTAGATGGCCAACTTGTCTTTTGGTGCTGTATCTTAAAAAAAACATGTTTTTTCCACGTTTTTTTTTCTTCTTTTTGCAGAACTCCCCCACCACACATACACCACAGTACTAAACAAAAGTGTATATAAGAAAGAGAATGTATAATAATGTTATCACTGTATGTTTCCATACAATGGCAAAATTAGTCTCTGCTTTTAACCCATCCACCACTGGGTGGTGCAGTTGGCAGCTATTGAGGGCACCTGGGGAGCATTTTGGGGAATGGGGTGTGCTGCCCAGAGACACCCCGAGGTATCCAGTGACCGGGGATCTAACCTGGGACTTTCGGGTCCTGAGCTGGCTGCCCTGCTTCTACACCATCTCGCCCCCCATGTGTGGCATGTGGTATACTATACAACTTTTGTCCAGCTGAAAGAACGAAATTTCTTTTTATGTCCATTTTTGTGAGAGAACAGTCATTCCCAGGAAATCCGTCACCATTTTTGGTAACAATAAATCTTGGATCTCCAAATCAGTTAATAATAAAATAAATTTGTGCAACATTAAATTTAAAAAGGGGATATGGCTCAATACCACATACTCAAACAACAAGTGAGGGAAGAATTAAAATGAGCTAGAGTGAACTATATGGAGAGGGAGAACATGTTCAGGTCCAATAACTCTCAGCTGGCATGGGAGGGGGTTAAGTCTATGATGGGGGTGCCAACTAGAAAACTCACATTACTCATAACTCTTCATCTGCTTGGATATTAATGCATTGAATGTATTTATCATTTACTGAGGAGATTTCTGGTTTTAAAATGCACCGTCAGGTGCCACAGTGCATACTGACAATGGAAGTGTACATTTTTTCAAAAGACCAAAGAAAGGCAAAGTCCAGGTCCTGACAGCAAAGGGGGTAGTATTCTTGGGAACTGTGCCCTGCAGCTAGCAGACATTTTTTGTTTTCTTTTTCACATGTCTCTCCAAATTTATAGGGTCCCCCAGCATTCGAAAGGCTCTTTTATTATTCCTATTCCAAAAAGTAAGATTGCTCAGTCACTTAACAACTTCTGGCCTGTTGCCCTGATTTCATTAGTAATGAAGTTATTTGAAAAAGATGTTTGGGGGATCCTCTTTTAAAAAGTTAAAAATTTGGACCCACTTCAGTTTGCTTATTCGACATGTAGCGGGGTGGAGGACAAAACAGGAACTCTTTTAAATATGCAACAAAGTTCAGTTAGGTCATCTGGACAGTTTCTTTTTTTTTTTTTTTTTTTTTTGAGACGTTTCGTCCTTCATCCAAAGGACGTCATCAACCTGAGGACCACAAACAAACTGTGTCCCACAAGCAGCACACTCCCACAGTGGACCAACCAGTTTGCTGGTGATCAGATGGTTGGTTAAATATGATTTTAAGACACTTAGAAGGTACAAAACACTTGATAAGATGGCTTTTTATTGACTTTTCATATGCTTTTAATTGTATTCAACCCCAGATTTTAGCAGAGAAATTACTATGCTTTTATGGTCTTAATTCCTTTTCTCTCTGATGTTCTTTTGTTCTCTACTGATTCTCCTCAGGGCTGTGTTCTTTTGTTCCTTTTATTTATTTTATATATGAACATTTGTTGCAGCCAAAACATCACATTTTAACGTTTGCTGATGACTGTCATTTGGTCCCTTCTTAACAGTGATGACCCTGACCATGGGCCTGTGGTCAAGGACATCCCTCAATGTGTGAGTATTCCTTTTTAAAATTAAATGTTTCTAAGACAAAGGAGACAGTCACTGATTTGAGAAAAGACTCTTCAGTTGCCACTGCTGTGGACACTAATGGTGAGGCTGTTAAGGCAGTGTATCAAAATAAATAGCTGGGAACTGTTCCTGATGACAAACTGACCTTTGATGCACAAATGAACTCACTTTGTAAGAAGGCCCACCAGAGAATGTATTTTTATTGGAAGCTATGAGGGTTTAATGTTGATCCTACTTTCATGCTAATGGTTTTTTTCATGTTTTATTGAGTTCCTTTTAACTTTTACCTTCATTTGTTGGTTTGGACTTTTAATGTGCAAAAACCGGACTCGGAGATTGTCAGGATGTGCAGCAAAATTGCATAGCCCTACAGAACCTCACTGACCTACACAAGGTGAGGTCAGTGAACAAGGCCAGGCTGATTCTGGCAGATCCTGATCACCCACTCCATGGTGAGTTCAGATTGCTTCCATCTAAATGCAGGTATCTATTGCCCAGATGTAGGACATATAGAATGGAAAAACTCATCTCTGAAGCTATCAGGTTGCTCAACGAACAAGGGCGATTTCTATAGTATACTGTTATTTATTTAGTGTCTAAATGTTTTAGGTATCTACTAACTGTGAAACAAATTGCCACTTGGGGATAATAAAGATTACTGACCTTGAACTTGAAGGGGTCTGGTCAACTTTTGTATCAACCTTAAACATAAAATAGCTTTAACTCTTTCAATTTTACAGACAGGGTGGCACGGTGGCTCAGTTGGTAAAGCTGTTGCCTCTCAGCGAGTAGGTCACCAGTTCAAATCCCAACCGGGACCTTTCTGGATGGAGTTTGCATGTTCTCTCTGTGCATGCGTGGATTTTCTCCATGTGCTCTGGTTTCTTCCCACAGACCAAAAACATGCATGTTAGGTTGATTGGTTACTTTAAATTGTCTCTAGGTGTGAGTGAGAGAGTGAATGGTTGTTTGTCTCGTTTGTCTCTATGTGTCCCTGTGATGGACTTGCGACATGTCCAGGGTGTACCCTGCCCCTCGCACAGTGATTGCTGGACATGGGCACCAGCGACCCCCGTGACCCAAAATGGAATAAGCGGGTAAAAGATTATGGATGGATGGATATAATTTTACAGACAATAAGCATAAATTTGGCGTGGTATCAACTGAGAGTCATCCAGAACACATTCCTAGAGAGCTAACATCACACAAGATCTTTGCTTAAAACTTTCACATTTACTGTTGGAGTAAATCCTGTTTGTTCATAAGCAAAATATTTTATGAACCACAAGACATTTTTTTGAAACTAAGAAATAATTAAATGTACATTAGTCAACCCAATTTAAAATGGCCACCACAACTGATTATTGCGGTTGATGTAGGACTGAGACCCAGGACACATGCAGACACGAGGAGCTTGGATAAACTTATTTATTAAATAATCTAAAAGAAAAATGCTGGTGAGGCAGCAGCAAACTTATAAAAACTTCTGAAGGATGAACAAAGGGAGGTACAAGGGAACACAGGCAGGACCGAGACATCCGACAACAGTACAGAACAATGAGCTGACCTGGAATGGTGATCAGGAGTGGTTTACGTAAAACTGAGGGAGAGTGGGAAATGAAAGCACCTGGGATGATTACTACATTAATTACAAATGGGTGTGTGATAACTGGCTGGAGAGGCTGACTGAGTGGAGAGTGAAGAGTGGCGTGGAAACAGAGACAGATTCAAAGCACAATGATCAGAAAACAAAATACAAATTACAAGGGGAACAGAGACAAAAGAAACCTCAAAGAAAATAACAGAAAAGGTACAGATATGACACATGAGCATTGGCAAATATAAAAATGGGTATAGGTCTGGTAATTTTGCAAATATTGAGGTCAAATTTGATGTGAGAGTCATCAACAACACATATTCCAAGAGCTAACAAGTCACTTTATTTAAAACTTTGTCATGTTAGGAAATAATGCTGTTATTTTTACTTTATTGTGTTTTGTTACCCAGAAACGTTTTTATCTATTCACAATAAGATTTGTTTCTTGACATCTAACTTTAAACATTCTCTAGCTATCAGTGCTTTCAGAGCGATGGGCCATGTAAAAAAATAATCCCCTGATCTATATTTTGCATCTTCAAATTGTCATGCCTTTGTTTCACTGTTTTCCATCATGTGCTGACAAATATTCCACACTGTAGAGAACCTGCTCTATCCTGTTGCCAGGGCAAACAGACATTCATTTTATGAATATAGGCATTAGTGATGGGAGAGGTACTATTTTGAAATTTAATGTGTTAGAACTCCTGGGGGACAGCTTGAATAATGCTGATGTGCATAATTTGCTTATCTATCAGAGCCATTTATGGCTGGTGTTAATTACTGAGGTTGCATTAGGAATCTGTGAGCCTCAAGGGCTCTTTGCATAAATTATGAGCTCTCACCAAGTCTGAGCCATTCCTTAGTTTAAAGGACACGTTTGCCCATGGCAGTCTATCAAAAGATACAAAGTGATAAACCGCACCAACTCAATTCACACCCAAACAAAGCATGCATGGTTAGACACATTACTGAAAACCTATGATTCAACAAAAACAAGCTGCAGCCAACTGAAGTGCTGCCTTGAGATTATTGTTCACAGTCAACACTAAGCTATAATTTGATGGTAATTTGTCAAACAACCTAAGGTTTTTGAACAAGTGATCAGCACACTGAAATACTATGGCCAGCCAATAAATTTGTACAGAATATACATGTAATGTACAATGTAAATAACTTAAATGTTGTTGGAACAAGTATCAAAGTTGTCTTGCAACTGTTTAAAGGATGTTAATATCTCTCCATAAAACAACTGATGCATAAATAGAAAGTTCCTGGAGAAACTTTGAGAGGGACTGTCACATTGTGGCCATTTTAAATTTTTGATTTGACAGTACTGTGTGTTTGTTCTAAGCTACCACCGTACCAAATTTCAACAACATGGCAAAAAAAATCAGTGAGTTATAGTCATTTTTAAAGCTTTCATGGCCATGTTGGATTTGGATTTTTTGATTTGGGTTCAGTATGAGACGGGAAACGTTCTCAGCTACAACCACATCAAATTTCAGCTCTATATGTTCAAGTAGTGTTTATTTGTCAT